CTACACAGGGTCCGCAACTGTGTTGCGACGGGGGGGGGGGGGGGGGGGTCAAAATGCTGACATAATGTAATGCTTGAAAGCTTTCTCCGCTAAGGTCCCCGACTGAGGTACAGAGGTACCTGTGTCGGGGCCGTCGCGAAAGACGATTGGCGCGGATCAAACGTCATCGCATCGCGGGGCACGCGCTCAGGTCGTCGCTGCTTTGGCGGGGTAGCTTCAGCGTCCTAGGGGTCTCAGAGGGTCCCTGGCCAAAGCCAATTCGCTCGCCTCGTTGCTCCCATGTTTTTTCCCTGCGCGGGACATCCCAGGAGGCCAATGAGCCGGGTAAGTCTGGTCCTTCTGTCCTTCGAGGTTATGCGCTTCACGATAAAAGGTGTGGCCGATCGCCTGCCCTTGGCGACTGCAGGACACGGCACTTCTTTCTCCTCCACACCCACCTAGCTACTCTTGTTCCCTCTTACACACTTTTCCCAGCAAAAACATGTCGCGATCACTCGATGGAAAGCTCGGCATCGTGACCGGTGCCGCTCGAGGTAACCAAGACTCCACCGCGCCCTTTCTGCGTTGTGCAAAGCTAACCTATCCCGTGCTACCTACCTAGGCATCGGTGTCGCCATCGCCGAGAACCTTGCTTCCAAGGGCTGCAACCTCATCCTGGGCTACACTTCGGCTTCCTCGCAGTCCCGCGCTGAGAACCTGGCTGCCGACCTCAAGGGCAAGCACAACATCATTGCCCTGCCAGTGCAGGCTGATCTCGGAACCCCTACTGGTCCTGCCGCTCTGGTCGAGTCGGCCAAGAAGCAGGCCTCTGAGGCGGGCATCGCCAAGTTCCAGATCGACATTCTGATCAACAACGCTGGTGTAGCCCTGAACAACCTCATTCCCGATATCACCGTCGACCAGTTCGACACGTCCTACCGCGTCAATGTTCTCGGGCCGCTCCTTCTCGTCCAAGCCGTTCAGCCCTACCTGCCCAACGATCGCTCCGGCCGTATCGTCAACCTCTCATCCGTCAGCTCCTCCACTGGTTTCTTCGGCCAGAGCGTCTACGGTGGCACCAAAGCCGCCCTCGAGGCTATGACGCGCACCTGGGCTCGCGAGCTCAGCGAAAACGCGACCGTCAACGCCATCAACCCCGGCCCCGTCCTGACCGAGATGTACGAAAGCAACACGCCCGAGTTTAAGCGCTTCATCAAGGGCTTCATCGAGCACTCGCCCCTGATGAAGGCTCGTCCCGGCATCGACGATGATGCGCTCGTCAAGGAGGCGGAGACGGCAGGCGGCCGTCCGGCGTATGTCGGCGAGGTTGCTGGTATTGTGGGCATGTTGGTGTCTGCTGAGTCTGCGTGGTGCACAGGACAGGTTGTGTGCGCAAACGGCGGCATGCTCTTCGGAACGCAGTAGATTGTCACTTTAGCGAAGCAAGAAATCAAAGCCATCTGTACAACACTTGGTAACCCTTATTTTTGGTACAATAAGCACGTGTCTCGCTCATCGGGGAGAACGATTATGAGCGATAGGTCCAACACGACGCCGGCCTCCGGCGCTCGGGGCCGGGGCCGAGCACCTGTGGGTCCACACTCGCCGACCAGTGCCCAGGCGTGGCCATTACGTAGTGCCGTCCAGCCGAACATGGTCGCCATGCATCACCGCCGACGTCATGCTCCCGAAGAACCATAGCCCCCCGCCAAGGCATCACGAGCGCACGCCTCCGTTCCCACAACCCAACAACACGCCGTCATGGGACGAGCATCGAGATTCGGTTCCATTTGTCCCAACTTAACACGACGACACTGCGGTACCGATGTTCAAATGAGCGTACGGCCACGGTTCGCCGCATGGTCACAAACAACACTCCATCAAACGTCTCATCGCAACCCGCCACGCCTTTAAATTCGCCACGCACCCACGATTCGCGAAACCGTGTTCAGCCTCCATCAGGGTCGGGACCAGAAAACAACAACGAAAGAAAAAAAAAACCATGGCGTCGAAATTACTAGGCTCCGGACCACATGTGTACGTCCTGCTCTGGCGCGACTGTGGTGGCAATGAATTTGTCGCCCTCGGCGCGTACGCGCATCTCAAGGACGCCAACACGGAGGCCAAACGCCTGGGCAAGGAGCAGCTCTCCGACGGCCTCACGTACAGCAGTATGCAGGCCGACCTCAAGGCCCAGGACTCGGAACCTCTGCGGTGGGATACGGCAGATGGGATATCATGCTGGGTAGAGCGGCACGAAGTGAAATAAGGACGCTGGGGGGGGGGGGGGTTCAATGGCGGGGTGGCGAGCACAACAGGACGCCTCGCAGACGAGGGGTCCGGCGGTTCTCGGCAGGATATGTGTGGTTTTTGGGGGGTTATTCGATGCGTGCTGTACATGTTGGATCTGTGCACGCTGTGAGGGGTGTGCCGTCTGTCGTGTATGCGTGTGGGCTGTTCGCACAGAATCAGGGCACGACTTCGTCTGGACTTGATGATTGCAAAATGAAGACAAAAAGCGTTCTACAAAGTATGACGAACACGAAATAAGATAACAGCGATTTTCATCTCTTTATGTTCTGTACGCTCTTTGTTGGAAGTGATCGCGCGAGAACCGTGGTCTGCTCGGGGCGACATTCTGACGCGAGTGCGATGAGCGGACAATGTACGTGTTACGCCATTTGCATGCTCGACTACGTGCATGGAGTGCTGCTCTTGCCAACCTGTCTGTTGAGGCTTGCCACTTCGGACGTCTGACGTCTGGCTGGCCCATCGAGGACGTTCGCCTGGAAGTTGCCATGCTTCGAAGGCGAGACCGTGCTGACCTTTCAGTCTTTAGATCGCAAGTTTGCGGACAGTTCCGTAGTGTGTACGATGTTGTGTCGCGCAGGCTGATTAGACCCAAGACGTGAACTCTCGGCACAGCCCCGGCAGTACCTAGCTCTGATGAATTGTGTGCTTGCTTGCGCCCCCAAATCAAGAACTGACAGCAGAGGCCAGCACCTTTATTGGTAATCATGTCTCGAATGCCACACTCATGTGGCTGTGGTAGGACAAACGGGCAAGAGATAGATGTGGGTGTGCCAGAGATCCAGACGTGCGCACAGAAATTTTGAGGATGGATGAAGTATGCCCAGGTAGACACATGCTCAGAATCATCACCTTGGACATGCCAAAGAACTGCACTTGGTAGCCCAGGCGTGACAAGACGATGCATTCAGGGACCCCGGGGCGTGGCACAAACGCCCCAGCGCAAGCCGCCTGCAAGCTGCGCTTTCGCTTCGGCGGCGGGGTGGGGTGGGGGCTTCAGGGTCGTACATGGTAATCCCAGCGCCGTGGTTCGCTGACCCCGTTGTATCAATCCAGGGGGTCAGGGCGCGGCTGGCCTCGAAGCTCATTCATCTCCAGGCTGTCATCGAAATACACCATTGATCAATCTGCACCACAGGAAAGACCAGAGGAAACGCGGCACCACTTTGCTGCCCACCCTCCCATGATGCGGACCTCTCGACTGTCCAAAGACACGGCAGCCATACTGGGTGCAGTACCCCCATTACCGTCCCCGCCTCGTCGAACGACACGCAGCTCTCTCGCCCGATTTGCCTTTCACGAGTCGACCGTGCCATCCTCCTCTCGAACTCTCGCCACAGCGCCCCCGACCCCCGACATTGAAGATGGCCTGGAAACGAACCCCCGAAAACGCCGCCGCGTGGTCACAAAGGTCGAGCCCGTGATCAAGGCACCGCCTTCCCCCGACTCCAAACCCCCTTCCGAGTCACCACGAAAGCGCCGGAAGCCGGCTCGCGTCATCAAAGGCGAGTCGCCCTCGGGAGACACGGTCGAGGGCCCGTCAGACTGGGAAGAGATGTACGAGCTTGTTCGTCAGATGCGTCTCTGCGGCCCCGCGCGTGACGCCGCCGTCGACACCATGGGCTGCGAGCGCCTCTTCTCGCCAACGGCCAGCGACCGCGACCGCCGCTTCCAGATCCTCATCTCCCTGATGATGTCGAGCCAGACAAAAGACACCGTCAATGCGGTGGCCATGGGCCGATTGCACGATGAGTTGCCGCCCCATGAAGCGGGCGCGCCACCAGGGTTGAACCTCGAGAACATATTGGCCGTCCAGCCTGCGAAGCTCAACGAGCTCATCAGAGTCGTGGGTTTCCACAACAACAAAACAAAGTCAGTCTCTGCCCCCCCACCCCTCCTTGCCCCATCTGCCCGGCAAGGCCATCATCCCCTTGAACCCCCTTGGATCGACCATGTGAGGCTAAACAGCCCCAGGTTCATCAAGCAGGCGGCGCTCCTCCTCCGCGACAACTTCGACGCCGACATTCCCCCGACCATCGACGGCCTCACCTCGCTCCCCGGTGTCGGCCCCAAGATGGCCCACCTCTGCCTCTCCGCCGCCTGGGGCCGCACCGAGGGCATCGGCGTCGACGTCCACGTGCACCGCATCACCAATATGTGGGGGTGGCACAAGACGGCGAGCCCCGAGGCCTCGCGCCTTGCCCTCGAGGCCTGGCTGCCCCGCGACCGCTGGCACGAGATCAACACACTGCTCGTCGGCCTCGGCCAGACCGTGTGCCCGCCACAGGCCGGCCGGCGGCGGTGCGGCGAGTGCGACCTCGGGCTGCGCGGCCTGTGCCGCGGTGCGGACCGGAAGAAGGTGGCGCTGGGACGGGCGGCGGAGCCCGAGGGCGTGAAAGTGAAAGAAGACGACGTACCCAAGATGGACGTCCTTGCGTCAGAGTTTTTCGAGACGCGGGTGATCAAAGAGGAAGGCCACATGCTGGACGACAAGGTGGTCAGCATCAAGCAGGAAGCGATACATGACGAGTGACAAAGCCCCCCCCCAAGCCAATCCAGCCAGTGCCTTTGCCTCTTCGTCTCGCATTCCTAAATGGCAGAGGCAAAAGACGGCAGTATCTAGGACGATTGGCGGGCCAATGATGCATCAAACTGTTCTATCCCCCAAATCGCAAAGCCGCTTGCCGCACCCACCAGCACGTACGCATGTATATACGTACATATGCGTGCCGCGCCGAGGCACACAGCGGGCGGCGGTGGTCACATCCCCACGTCCCACGGCCACGGCCACGTAGCGGTGCATGTCAGGCCACCACGCACTCGCACAGGCAGAGAGGCCTGGTTTCTTGATCGGCTTTGCCAATGGCGGCCCAGATGGGCGGGGGTCAGCGAGTGTTGTCGCCATGTCGTCCGTCATGCGATGAACGGTTGTCGAGCGCTTTGCTGCCCACCCGACCCGACCAACCTCCAGGAAAGGACTGTGCTGCGACCACGACAGTCGACAGGCGAATGACGAACCGCCCGACGGGCCCGACCCCGCGCGATGGTGTCGGGTTGCGAGTCAGGTGGGCCAGTAGTGCTGGTTCCGGGGCTGGGCGGCCCATGGCTGATACGATATCGGAGATAGGCCGGAATGAGTCTGAGCCTGGCACAGGTGAGCCTTGCACAAGTGTTGGGAGATGACGGGGAGAAGGCGAGACGGGCGCATTCAACCTGACTCGTATGGATACACGTCACAAGTACATTGATTCGTATCAAAGATTCACAAGAACGACGTGCACAGTAAGTTGGAACGAGTCGCACAATTGCAACGTGATGATGGCCCAGGAAGTGATAGCATGTGTACCATCTAATAGAACAGGTCCGAGTCTATAGAGTCTATTACGCTTCGAGCCATCGCAAGGTTCCACCAGCTGTCACGGAGCGGGACACGTGGGTAGAGTGGAAATGAACCATAGAGCGTGTGCCACAATCAAGAATGGATGCGGGGTGAAGGGTGTAAAACAGATCATGATGCTACCATCTAGCTCCGACCTGCGACCCAGAGGTATATGGACAAAAATGATAAAGAGGCCCTCCGGTACGCCGTGCGGAGGTAAGGGTAAACTAAAACGACTAAAATACAATAACATGCTCTGGGACGGCGGTAGTTCGCTTCGTCGATCCGGTTGTTCATGAGGGACAAGGTGGTGTGTCCGAAGTGAAGTGCTGGAGGCCGCTCGGTCGATATCTTCCAATCGCTCGGCGCCTCTCGTTTCCTCCGTGTGTGGCAAGTGATTTGCTCAGTCGCACCGCCTGGTTTCCAGTCGCCTGTCGATGGCGACGGCGACGGCTTCCAACACGGCGCTGATGCTGCGTCAAATTGCTCTCCGGCGCATGCCGGCTTCCCCGAGGAAGGTGTGTTGCTGTGGTGGCTGAACGTTTTACACGCCGCGGATCATTTGTGTTCTTTCGGACTCGAGCTGCGCTGCGTTGCGCTCGTGTGACTCCTTTTTGCACTGGGAGAGCACCATTCGTGTCAGCGAGCAGTCCTTCGTCTCGCAAAACATCACCCAAGCCAAGGAGCCAGTGATTTGAAACAGACGAGGGAGCAGAGCTTACGTCTTCAAGGCCGGAGCACTTGTGATCTTCCAAAAGGCGGTGCTTGCCACAGAAGTGGCCCTGGCAGAAGCCACAGTCTCCAACGATGCGCTGAGCGGCATCACGGCAGTCTTTGGCGGTGCAGCGAATCTTCTTTGCAGGCATGATGGGTGATGGGGGGGTGGTGTGTCGTTGTTTATGGAATAGTCTTATGAAAGTATTCGCCGGGCACGAGAGTCGAGGAAGAGAGGCCGATGTCGATGGGGTGTGCCTGTAAGCTGAGGTGTCGAGAGTCGGCTGGTAGAGGAGTGTCGGTGGCAGTAGTGCGGTGCCGAGGTGGGAAGAGGAAGAGGAGGATGAAGTTGGGAGGAGGCGAAGGTGGGAGAAGGGCGAATACGTGTCAGTTAATAAAAGGAATAGGAGGCGAGAGAAGTCGGAGCCAAGGCAGGTCGGCTGATGACGAGAAGATGAACCGCTTTTAAAAGGGTGCTTAGCAAGAAAGGGAACCTGGCGCGAAGACGGCAGGCAACTCCGCAACAACGCAATCATGGGCCCGGGCCCGGCGTCCTTGCCCTTCTAGCTGTCCTGCCTCCTTGCCTCCTGACACTCTCGCCTCACATGGCCTCCACTGTGACGCCTTTGCCTGGGGCTGGCCTGCCTTGCGCTTGCCTTGCCTGGTTCGGAGGACGGGGAGCGGTAAGTGCTTGGCCTTTGCACGGAGCAGGTACAGGGGGCGAGGGGGGGGGTTGTGGACACTGCGGGCTGGCTACGCCATGCAGGGTTCCAGGCGCCAATGCACGCCTAAACGGGGACCGTGTGGGCCTGAAGCGGACCCGGCTCGATTGACGACGGAATAGATGGGCACTGTACCTACCTAACCTGCCTGCCTACCCACCGCCAGGATAGGTACCTACCCAGGAGCCAGTCCGTCTCTCAAGGCACCTTCTAGGGGACCGAACCGGATGGAAACGGACGGGCTTCCCGCCACGAGGCCAATGACTCTTACGTTCCCTTCCCAACCAGCAAGCCCTCGCTCGATTTTCGGTCTTCTTTCTGTCTTTGCCTCCTCAACCCCAAGACTCAACGATGAAACCCGATCAGACATAGATGACCACCCACGGTTCAGATAAGACAAGCGCATTCTTCTGTTCCCGTCTTCTGATCCACTGCCTTCCACAGCCTAGACCCAGCTCTCGACCTGGAACCCGCCGCCCCGGGCCAGGCAGCCAGGGCCAAAGGCATCTGTCCCCATCCGGAAGTCGATCCCAACCAGCGGTTAGCCGCAGAGCCCAACAGCTAGCGAAGTGACGGCCAGCAGCGAACAACAGACATCCGCAGAGGGTCTAGGCCGCGACCTTGAAGACCAGGCATGCCACGGGGTTCCAGCTGACACAACAGACGATTGAGGTGCCGAAAACGGTTTAATCATGGCTGTGGTGAGATCGAGCCACTTGCCTGCCAAGCTTGGATGACCTTGACCGCCAACCTGAGGTGCCTGTGCACTGCTTTCCCCAATTTCTTCGTCCGCTAGGATCTCTACTCTGCCACGACACGGTTCAATTATGGCAAAGCATTTGACGGAGCTCATTACAAATTGGGGCGTTTGACTCACAGTCTGGCGGAGAACTGAGCCTGTGACGAACCGTTCAGACCCGAGATGAGTTTTTGCGGGGGCTCAATCACCCTACGTACACGAGTCATCCGGTACCACGCATGGCCGACGACGACTGCCCATGTCCTCCTACGTAGGTGGCCGAGTCCGCCGGAGATGCATACCCATGGCGATTGACGCTGGCGCCGAGACGACCAATTCGCAGTGCAATGGGTAATATGCCTGCAATATCTACATGGGCACACCCTCTGCACCCATCTCCTCGGCCGAGGGCTTGGCGACATGTCAAACCGCACAGACAGCGGCGCCTTCCTCCGGGGCTCAAGTCAATATCGCGATAGTGTCCTGCAACCCTACCCCAGCAGCCAGTTCTTCATCTGTAATTTTTCTTGGATATCAGCAGCAAGAAACAAACGATTCAAAACGTGGTTTGAGGAGATCGATGAGACCGACGCCGGTAGTGAAGCAAGCCAAGCTCTGGTTGGAGACGGTTTTCGAGACCAAAGCCAGTTGTTGCTGCTCACTGCGAACCAGGTAGAGCTGCAGACTATGGACTTCTCAAGGCTCCTTTGATTGATATAGAATTCATTTCAGTTTCAGCGTTGACTTTCTGGCCGCCACTTATCGGTTCCCAAAAGCTAAGATATAAAGTTGTTATAGCCCACAAAGATATTTAGTTTGCAAATGAACCACAGAGCTTGGCATACCTCGGCATACAGGTGACGATCCCTTATTCCTCTATCTCACGATTGCATTTTTGTAGCCGAAGGCCGCATAAGCCGATGTCTTGGTCGCCACTAGATGTAGCACAACCTCGTATTGAAGTCCTAAAGAAACCAGTGGAAATTGAGCAGGGGGTGTTGAAATTATCTTTCCAGGCCAATGATGAGACTAAGAATGCGCCGACGACGATGTTGATCAGTATTTGGAGCTATCAGTTTTTCAAAGAGTGCGGAAGTGAAGAGGAGCAATCACTCCCTGAACCACGCATGTCTGCCCCCACGGGCAACTCGTGGAGGGCCGGCCGCCTCTGGTTCGGCTACGCAGCCATGAAAGTCTGGGTGTGGTTGCTATATATCGGGCCGCATTGCATAATAGTGCGCTGGGTCTGACTTGCTTGAAGACACGGCCAGCATAGGTTCAATCGCAGAGCAGAAGACATCGCAGTTGAAACCACCCAAGATGGATGGACTGTCGTGGCAGTGGCTGACGAACATGCGGGGGTTCCCCCACACGAGGTCCTAGTTTAGTCTCTCGGTGGTCACGAACTCGCGGTGCAGGAGGCGCTGTTGATGTGGCGGGCGTGTCGACAACGACCGCCATTGACTCGAAAAAAGCTGCTAACCTACCTAGCGAACATCAAGCTATCCCCCCCCCCCCCTTCAGCTTCATAGTATCATCTGACAACAAATAGGTCTTTAGGTACGAGACCTGAAGTGTGGTTTGAGGTTCCAACATCTCAAGTGTGGGCCGTGATGGGCGATCAGACAATTAGGCTTCATTTTTCATTGAGGACTCGTTGCGCATCCACCATATCTGGGTCGATTGACTAGTCCCACAGGGGTGATGCTCCATTGAGAACCATGAAGTCAAGATTCGTTCAACAGTCGTTGCCGAGTTCGTCTCGCCGATCTGCTTCGCAAGAAGCCATGCACGGGGAGACGCAGGAAAAAAGACTCTCATCAATCAGCATGAGTATCATTAAACACGGTTCTGAGCTACGTCATGGTAACCAAGATACCGCTCGTTACGGACCCAACTCCTATTCTCGACCTCAGCTCGCCGTTTTTGGATCCCACTGAAACCCCACCCTCCCCCGCCGCCCAGCACCAGACGCCTTGGATGTGACACGCGATCGGTTGCCTTGTTGTGAACAATTTGGTATACTCTTCCTCAAATAGACTTTTCCACGGTTACTCCGACAGGTCGCGCATGTCGACAACGGCGCGGATGCAGTCGCCCGACTTCATGACCTCAAAAGCGGCGTTCATCTGCGGCAAGGTCTTGCGGTGAGTGATGAACTCGTCGACCTTGAGGGCGCCCTTCAGGTAGTCAGAGACGAGGCCCTCCATCTGGGAACGGCCCTTGACGCCGCCAAAGGCGCAGCCCTTCCAGACGCGGCCAGTGACGAGCTGGAAGGGGCGGGTGCTGATCTCCTGACCGGCGGCGGCGACGCCGATGACGATGCTCTGACCCCAGCCCTTGTGGCAGGCCTCGAGGGCGGCGCGCATGACAGTGACGTTGCCAGTGCAGTCGAAGGTGTAGTCACAGCCGCCGTCGGTCATCTCGACGAGCTTGTCGACGATGGTCTGGCCGTCCTTGAGGTCGTTGGGGTTGACAAAGTCGGTGGCGCCGAACTGCTTGGCCCACGCCTCCTTGGTGGGGTTGACGTCGACGACGATGATGCGGGCTGCCTTGTTGACAACGGCGCCCTGGACGACAGACAGGCCGACGCAGCCGGCGCCAAAGATGGCAATGTTGTCGCCCTCGGCAACCTGGGCCGTGATGCGGGCGGCGCCGTAGCCTGTGGTGATGCCGCAGCCGAGCAGGCAGGTCCTGTCCATAGGGGCGTCGGGCTGGACGGCGACGACTGAAATGTCGGCGACGACGGTGTACTGGGAGAAGGTCGACGTGCCCATGAAATGGAGGAGATCCTTGCCGCGGGCGCGGAAGCGGGAGGTGCCGTCGGGCATGACGCCCTTGCCCTGGGTGGCGCGAATCTTGCCACAGAGGTTCGTCTTGCCGGACTTGCAGAACTTGCACTCCTTGCACTCGGGCGTGCTGTGGCACACAGGTTGTCAGCGGGTGTCGTGATGGAGCGTGGGCATGTGTCACTCTTTGGGTGATCGGGCACAAAAAAAAACAAAAAATAGACGTACTAGAGCGCGACGACATGGTCGCCAACCTTGACGTTGGTCACGCCCTCACCGATGGACTCGACGATGCCAGCACCCTCGTGTCCGAGAACAATGGGGAAAGCACCCTCGGGGTCCTTGCCGGAGAGGGTGTAGGCATCTGTGTGGCAGACACCAGTGTAGTAAATCTGAATGCGGACTTCGTGGGCGCGGGGAGGAAGGACCTCAATGTCCTCGATGCTGAGCTCCTTGCCGGCCTCCCAGGCGACGGCGGCCTTGCAAGTGATCGTCTGCTCGTGCCATGGCCCAATTAGTCACTGTCGCACAGGAAGCTAAACCGCAGTCACGCGTTCGCGTTGGAGGTCGGTCCAGTGGAGGAGGGGAAGGGGAGGTGAGGAGAAGGTGAGGGGAAAAACGTACCTTGCCCTCGGTGGACGACATGATTCTTTAGTAGAGTGCGAGGGTCGAATGGGGGAGAAGGGTGTGGGGGATGTTGCTGAGACAGGAGAGCGGCGAGGACCTTGATGGTGTTTTGCGTGTGCCGCTAGCCAGGTTCTTGTAGATGGCAGCAGAGACAGGATGCAGCAACAGACGTCGCGATAGCTTTGGGAGGGGTAGGGGAACCAGATCAACTAAGTGCTTTTGTGGTGGTCACCAGCGGAACCGCTGGAACCCCACCATGCCGAGTCGACAGGGCGAACGAGGCAAAGAGGGGGAGGTGAGGAGCGCGAGCTCGGGAGTTCGGAGAGTTACGTCACGCCCTGAGCTCTGCGACGACATAACGATGTGATGGCTTCCCCTCTCTTCTCCAGCCCCTCCTCTCCGGTGTTGCATGTTGCAGCTTGGACAGGAAGCTGCAGCGTATCACAATCTCCGAAGCTAAGGCCGATTGACATGCCAAGACATGGTGGTCTGGGTCGTGTTCGCGCTGTGTGTTTTTCGGCGAACAACCTGACGCCCGAAAGCTGTCATGCGGGAGTCAACAGCGAGCGCGCTCCCTGGTCTCGTGTATACCCCGAAAGCCGGGCGACGCCGAGCAACAATCAATTGCTCGTTGGGGCTATGTTCCCTATCACTATGTTCCCTATCAATCGGATGACTCTCTATGATTTCCAGCTGATTGAGAAGCATGCAGACTGGCAGAGTGTGTAGTTGGACGTGGAATGCCCAGTTGTTGGAAGGTGTTGGTGATATTGTCAACCCTAGCAATCCACCACTGAGATGACTGTATTTCTTGCACACATGCCCGAAGAAAATATCGCTATGTTTGGCTCTACATACTGAAATATGTGTGCCGTGAGAGCGAGCGTCTGAACTCTCATTGAAGACGACACGCGAAGAAAGCAGGAATCAACCGCGACATGGATCTTTAGCCGAGTCACTGCCATTCGGCTGTTGCAGCATCACGACAATATGGATCCGGCAGTTGAGTTCGGAGCCTCCGGGGAGCGCTCCATGGAACGTACATATCCCGTCTTCCGTACGTGCGTTCCGAGGGCGGTTGGGTCTCCGATGGTCGATGGTCGTGGGGTCCCTGTGTCTGCTTGTCTGCATAGGTACCTACTTAACTGAGTGTCAGGGCAGACCAGGTAGGCACCTGGTGCGCTCGGACCATGGAAACCCGGCCAGAGGCGCCAGTGTCGCGCAGTGTCAGAATACGCGCCAGCTGGCAGCCATGGCAGCGCGGCTGAAGCTGCATCGGTGGGTCACAGTGAGCTTGGTGGCTACAGCGTTGGCCGGTCAAGGCGACAGGACTGCAACTGTGATCGCGAACCTCCAAAATTTATCCCAAGCCGCGTTTGACCCAACAACGGAAGCTACCAACAGCGCACTCACACATCAATCGCGCGCAAGCTCATAACCCCCCCCGCCGTCTCGACGCTCTTTTTGTCTTCGTCTTTTCCTTTCATTTTCATGATACCAAAATAAATAACTGCGATCGCTGCCGTTCATCAACCAAGCGACCCCCTCAGGTACCTTACTTGGGTACCTCTTAGTTCGGCACAACTAGGGTCTTCTCAACCACAGCAACACGGCCAAGGGCCGTTCCACGACACACCATGCCTACCTTCTCTTTCCCCGATGATAGCCCGGCGCCGTCCACCCCCGACAGGAGCTCGCACTTTGGCTCAGGCTCCTTCCAATTCGGCGATAACCCCTCGACGACCCCGGCTGGCCCTCCTCCTCCCTCGTCTGCCGCGTCCTTCACACCCGCCGGCGCGCCTTCCGAATCATACCTCGGCAGCTCCATGATGCTCGGAGTGACTGGCCAGAAGCCCACCTCCTTTGGCGGCCACAGCACGGCCGGCTCGACGAAGAACCTCTTCGGTCGGGCCCAGAACTCGCCGCAGCAACCCCTCGGCCGGTCCATAGGGCCATCGAGGTCGGCGAGGCAGCCGTCGGCCCTGAGCAGGGAGTACGACTTTGCCGACTCGACGCGCAGCACCACGAACAAGACCGGCACGTATCACATCTCCAGCGATGAGGAGAGCGACGAAGATGAGGAGGAAGAGGTCGACGAAGTGGCCGAGGCTGACGAGCAGATGAAGCGCATCTTGGAAGCCGACATGGACGACGAGAGTGAGGAAGGTTCTGTCGAAGAGGACGAAGAAGACGAAGAGGAATACGATGAAGAAGGGGAGGAAGACACAGACATGTTCTTAGACATGCACCAGCGGGCTCGCCAACAGCAGAACCAAGACTACGACGACGACGACGACGATGCGGAAGGCGACGAGGACGAATACGAAGAGGATCTGGCCGAGGCGACGGATTTCATGGACCTCGTCACACCTGCCGCTACCGAACAGATGAGGAAGGAGGCCCGAGACATCTTCCGCGCATCAGTCCGACAACGCTCGTCGGCCGGCTCCAGAACAGACTTTCAGTACGCTTCCATGGCGAAGAACTCCTACACTGACTTGGGCTTCGCCCAGCTCTCCGAAGCCCCCGAGCTCATCAGCAAAACGGAGGACACCATCAACAAGCTCTACGACGAGGGCATCGGTGCCCAGGAGGACCCCGAGAAGCTGGACAGTGCCCTGTCGCTTATGTGCGAGCCCTTGATCCAGCTGTGGGACGACTACGCCGACAGCCTCCCCATGCTAGACAGCGAGCACAAGGCAGAGGTCGGCCCAGGCGACGATGATGAGCCGTTCCGCAAGGCGGCATTTGTCGCGAAACTGGTGCTCCGCCTCCACAATGCTCGCTTGGTCGGACCAGATGCGTCCTACGTTGAACCCCTGCCAGGCGTTCTTTTTGACTGGGCCGCTCACAACCACAACATGTATCCCGACCAACACCACGACGTCATGCGACACAGGCCTAGCCCAGCCAATCATGGCCTTTACTGGCAGACCGTCGGCAGTGCCCTTATGCGTGGTAATGTGGATGGCGCCATTGAGCTTCTTAGGGGCGGGGCGTGGGAGGCCGTCACAAGAGGCCGCGGGGAGAAGGCCTATCAGGGCAAGACTCTGGAAAATGTCCAGCGCGCTGTCAGCATCACCTGTACCATGCTGAGCATGTGCCCAGCCACTAAGGACAACTGGGACATCTTCAGTAGTGACTGGACGCTGTTCCGAATCCAGGCCAAGGGGTCCCTGGACAAGCTCCAGCGGTTTGCAGAGGGCAAGGAGAGAGACGTGCTTGTCGATGGCAGCGACGATGGCTTCCACAATGGCCCCTCACTGGCCAGCATGGCGCGCAAGGCCGAGAGCCAAGTGCCTTGGGACATTTACGAGCACCTCCAGACGATTTACGAGATCGCCTTGGGTGTGCCAGATGCCATTCTCGACACGGCGCAAGACTGGTGCGAGGCGGCGGTTGGTATGTTCGGTTGGTGGGAGGCTGAGAGGAACCACGGACACGACGTCAGTCTCCGAATGTCCCGCTACCGCTCCCAGGCGCTGGCCCTGCCAGCCCCTTCGCCGGGTCCTGACGCTTATTTCGAGCGCCTCGCCATCGCCATCCACACCGTTGTGGAATCCAACTTCCACTTCAATGCCATGAACCCTGTCGAGGTGGCGCTTGTCTCTACGCTAGAGGGTAACTACACCGCCGTCGTCGGTTTCTTGCGGGCGTGGTCTCTGCCCGTGGCATCTGCCGTGGCGGAGCTCGCGTCTCTGGGACAGTGGCTGCCGAAACCTGAGGCACCCAACCTGATTGCGCTTCAAAGCTTGGATATGGAAGATTTCGATATCCTGGGAGTGTCACCACAAAACAAGGACGATGTCGAGGGGATCAAAGATACGACGCTGATTCACTACGCCCGCGAGCTCGCAGGGCTGGACCACTTCACTAAACAGAGGGATGGGTGGGAGATGGCGATCCAGGTGCTCGGGCGGATGGACTCTGCTGATCGATCGGAGGAAATGGTCGGCGAGCTACTTCGCGACATTCTCGAAACTATCGATTCTGACTCGAGCACGACTGTCGACAAGGTATGGCATATTGTGAACGAGCTCGGCATGATCCAGTACGCAGAGGAAGTAGCAGAGGTAAGGGATTCCCCATTGCTATGAGCGCCAACAAGCCACCACTAACACGTTCAGACTTTTGCCGAGACTTTGGCGAAGGACTCGCATCGGTACGGCGAGGCTCTCTGGTACTATGCGCTTGCGCACCGACCGGGAAAGGTTCGCGAGGTGCTCAACTTACTCATGTCCTACTCCCTGCTCCAGTCCACAGTGTTCCCCCCGACGAACGATCTTGACGACCATCTCCACCGACTTCTTACGGAGCGCTCGCAAACACTCGAGCAGTACGCCAAGCAAGACCTTGAGGCTGCGCAGCTTCTCGGTCGCATGCTCAGCGGTTACGCCACTCTCCGCAAGTTCTACGAGCTACGCGACACAGAAGGTCTCGCCAACATGTCTTCGTACAAGTCTCTGAACATTCGTCGACAGGCTGCCTCGGCCCTTGTGGCTGTCGTCGCCAGCTCTGATGACAATATCCGCGGTGGGCTCTACGACGAGTCAAGAGATGCGGTCGTCAGTGAGGATTTCCTCCTTGCCCTCCTTGGCGAGGCCCTTCCCTTCATCAACCAGGGTTCATCTGAGGCCATCATCACTCTCGACCAGATACACACTCTTCTCAAAGCAGTCGAGGACATCGAGACGGTCTCACCGACAGTCTTCGACGCTGCCGACGAATACTTCAAGCTCGTTCTCGCTTCGGCCCAAGGACTCAAGGGCTCGTCCCCGCACGACCTCATGCGCAAGAGCACCGGCGGCCTTAGCGGCTCCAGCTCGTATGTCATGGATGGCAGCTCGATGCTCGCGAGCCAACTGCATCGCTCGGTCAGCGGTGGCAGCAGCGTCAAGTTTGGGAGCAACGTCCGGCGCGGCTGGGACTGGCGCAGCGGCCTCCTCGCCAGCGCGACGAGCAAGGATGTTCTGCGGATCTTACGTCTGGGGTTGTCGAAGGATTTGTCGAAACTGTGG